AAGAGCCATATTCGTCCTGTGCAACTGAACTGAACTGAACTGAACTGAACTGAACTGAACCTGACCTGAACTGCGTTACACCGACAAGTGCGTTGCAGCATGAGCGAATCTGGAGACGTCCAAGCACAGGAGAAACTTTCAAAGAAGGCTTTGCGTAAACTTAATCGAGGCGTTGAGAAGCTTTCTACAGAAGACGTTAAATCTCACGTAATTTCACTAGTCCCATCACAGCTTATTCACCGCCATTAGGATGCACCGATTGTGGTATTCGATGGCGACAAAGGCATTGAAAGCGCCTCAGCTCGCTACGGTGTTCTTCCGTTACATCAGTCGCAGTGCAAGAATGGTCCTGAGTATGTTGATCTTAGACAACTTGCATCTGTGTACTTGGAGAACAAGCATGTCTGGATACGCGGGCGCTTACACCGGAGCCGAATGAAGGGGAAGCTTTGCTTCTTTGTCGTACGGTTTCAAGACTTCAGGGTGCAAAACGTGCTCTCAGTTTCCCCGGAAACTCCTAAAGAAATGCTAACTTTTGTCGCAGGGTAAGTGCTTTTATCGTTTACCCAATGATGGATCCATCAGTGGCCTTCGTCAAATTGCGGTATCGTACAACTGTGGGGCCGTCAACTATTTCTTGGGGATGGTTCTTATAAGGGAAAGCCCTGTATGTAATCAAGCACTGTCGAACTGCGGTTTGAGCCAGCTCTTTAAAATGCTTCATGCAGTGACCATGAATATAGTGTAGGTGCGCGAAATGACATTCCTGTTAGGGTCCGGAACTATTGGATGCCAGCCTCGAACCCGAGAGTCAGTTCAAGATAGGAAGATGACTCTGTCGGTTCTACTAGTGTCAAGGAAGTGCAGATTTAAAATCAAGTAAATAAGAACAAAGCGATTGATAACCAATGCACAAGTTTTATCACTGTTCGCTCGCAAGACGGCCCTGTCACCCTAACCTGATATGAAAATGTCACCGAATAAGCTTCATGTTGGTGTGAGGAAAATCTAATGATTTCGCCGGTAGCGTGTTATGTTTAGTTCGATCGAATTTCTTGTAGCTATCAAATCCATGTTTGTTTTTGTATCGTAGTCTGTCGTGACCTGTTTGGGGCGTGTATTCTTCTTGATCGTGAGAAAATCTATGATGAGACCAATACTTTTCGTCGTTGCCCACATGCAACCTTGCAGCTTTTAGATGATGAGGGGACTGTACTTGTTGCATTTACAACCCGCATCTCATGGTGATGACACCTGAGCATATTGTTACCAGTCAAACAGCCTGCCATGGTGAGGCGATCGATAGAAACGTGAGGGAAAGTTAGCACTGTATAGCGCACACATTAACAAACCGTATAGTTTTAATGTATAGCATGCTTGATGCTGGGCGCATGTATCAGGTTGCGACTTTGATAACGTGGACACCAAACATTGAATGTGGCACTAATTAGTTTTAGGGTTTTCCACCTAAAATAATATATTTGTACGTATCTCTCCCCTCAGAATATCGAAGGAGTCGATAGTCGATGTGTATGGATGTGTCAAGACAAGTCCGGTGGTAATTGAAGGCTGTCATCCAGATAAGGTTGAGATACATGCCGAACGGGTCTATGTGGTGAGCGCGGCTCTTCCCACATTGCCTTTGCAAATCGAGGATGCGATGCGCGCGGAAGATGATGAAACAGTACGTATACCAAATGTTTTTATTGTCCTACAAGTTGATACTTTGCTTTACGCTGTTAGTCCTCTTTGATTATGCCGGTGACGCACTCATTGATATTTGCTTTGTAACAATATGAGCACTTCTGTTTAAATCTAGATTGAAGAAGCTCCCTGTGTCTATCATGTTTAATCAATATCATTNTTCTTCTTCCATTTCGGCATGCTGCCCCATTTGGCCGTTTATCAGGCCCTCAGTCGAGTGAATCAAGATACCCGATTGGACAATCGCTGTATCGACTTGCGTACACCTGTAAATCAAGCCATTTACCGTGTTGAAGCTGGTGTTGTACGTTTTTTCATGGATTATTTAACAAAAGCCGGTTTCGTCAACATTCATACCCCCAAAATGATATCAGCGGCCTCAGAGGGAGGAGCTAACGTCTTCAAGGTGTCATATTTCTCTGGCAGTGCTTACCTGGCTCAGTCACCCCAATTATACAAGCAAATGGCAATCGCAGCTGACTTCGGACGCGTAAGTTCACCGATTTCACTTTGATACCAGCTAGGATTAATCTCTAATGAAGCCTCTCTTGGTTACAGATTATGACGATTCCTAGGGCCGTTGCGATGTCTTATCATTTAATATTCGAGTGTGATCGGCGGTAAATTGCGATGTCATGTGGATCCGTTTGGTTATAAAATCTAGCCACTCGAATCATAGAACTTTGAGGTACAGATAATGGTGCGTCTGTGGCGGTAAGTCTGTGGAGAGCATAGCGGTCTACCACCAGTGTGAGTATTCTTGGTGGGGTTCCAAATCTGAACGTAATGAACCGGAGCGAGCCATTAAAAATGACGGGCTGCTAAAATACCACAATTATGCTTCTGTGAAACATGTAAGGATCCACTCAGTATCAGTTTTACAACCGTTAGCCATACACTCGTGCACCGGTTTTCGCTGCTGCATCATGATTGCCCATTTGAACGACGGAGGTAAGGGGAAATTAGATTTTTCAAGTCAGTGTTATAGTAAAAATAGGGAATTCATGAAAACTAAGGTTGCAAAAAATTGAAATGCAGGAACACCGGTGTTTACGACAACCATATCACTCAGTGTCTCTATCCGTTGATTCCGCTTATCCCGATATAACCACCCGGGAATCTTTGCACAAGCAGTGTGGGCAGGTCTCTTGCTATGGATTTTCATACCTTCATACCACGTCTTGGTTTGACCACCTTTTACTTCCACCCATCGTCAGCTTCGCCAAACAGCGCGCACCGTGGCAATCTATTTGGTGAAATGCACATCCCATGTCTCACCCAACGTAATCTATGTAGGTCGACCACTTTCTCCAGTGGTCTACGGCGGTTACCTAAAACTCACCGCCTAACCTCAGTATTGCTCCGTTTACCTAGCGGACTCTTATGTAGTTCACCACTCCAAGTCCCGAGGCTCAAGTGATCGGCTTCCATCACTGAATAGCAGGTCCTCGTTTATCACATTTAAGTGTGCAAAAAACCAACATACCCCTTTTTAAACGATTTCCAGGTTTTTACAGTTGGAGCCGTTTTTCGAGCCGAGGATTCAAATACTCACAGACATTTGACCGAATTTGTTGGTCTCGATCTGGAAATGGCTTTCAAAAATCACTATCACGAAGTGGTGGATCTTATTGCGGACATGTTTGTAAATATGTTCAAAGGATTACAAAAGGAGTGAGTTGCTCACCTGCATCTTATATGTATATCACGAGAAAATGAAGGCATACACTGAGTTGTAAAATGTTTATTGTATCGTTTGGATTCATACTGGGACTCGTCAAACGTATATATGTATCCATATATTCAGCATGTTACCAATTAAATTCCATCACG